CGGTGGCTGGGAGGGGGTAAATGTATTTTTTTTTCTAGCTGCTGCTCTCTTTTTCCCCAGGATTGGGAGAAGGAGGAGGGCTCTCACGTATGGGGGTTCTTGCCTCCTCCTGTGACCAGCCAGAGGCTAGGATGGGGATGAGGACCCCTTTCCCCACTGTCTGATTCTGCCAGAGATGTGAGTCCTTCACCCCAACTCTCAGGGTCTCTTAACCCGGCAGCCCAAAGAGGGGCCAGCGCCTGTTTAGAAGAGTTTGAATAAGTTAATTCTTTTTGCCGCCAGGGTTGGGTGACAAGACTGCATTTCCCCTTTGGAGAGACTCCTTAGAAGAGTATCTGAAGTTTCTCAAAGGTGAGGCCGCCCAGTAGCAAGCCAATGTTCCAACTTTGTCTGGCTTGTTCTGCTGCCGGCGGCTAGGGACTCAGATTAGTCATAAAGGAGTGGAAAGCAGTGCGCCAGCCGCCCAGCCGGTGCCTGGCAAAGTCTGGGAAAAACCTTCTCTAATGTTGTGTTAAATATTTAGTATGAGAGAGTGGCCCTGGGTGAATATTTCATGCCTGCCTTTATTGTCAATCAATGCACAGAAAGCTACATTCACGGTAGATTTTTAAATCTCAAACCCCGAAGAAAAAGGTTGGAATGAGTGACCTGCATCCTCTCAGCCTCAGCTTGGGGGCTGAAAAGAAGGTCAATGTCAGGGTCTGGGAAGGATATGGTGGCCAAACTGGGTTTGGGGCTCCTACCCTTACATGATTTGGGACTGTGAGTTCTGTGATGTGGCCAGATGTGGGTCTTCAGAGAGACCAGCAGGGCAGTGGAAGGGAGCTGAGGAACCTGGGTAGACAGGGCAGGGCCGGGGGCCACTCCCTAGCGGGAGCCCCCGGCCCTGCTCCCAGAGGCTGCAGCCAGGCCTTGGTGTGCCTCCCTGCCCTGTCTTCCTCTACTCCACGTCTGCCAGCCTTCTGGATGGCTGTGGCCCAAGGGGTGGGCTCAGTGGTTCTGCCCTCCCTTACTCCCATCCCTCTGGGCACCACAGGACACATTTGGTCAGCTGAAAATTACTTTATTGAAAGGTTCTGGACTGGGTCCAAGCGGCCGGAGCAACTGTCACACGCAGAGAGCAACCTTGGATCCAAGGAGGAGCTGCCAGGGCATGATTTGTTCTGAGAAGAGGGGAGGAACTGAAGCCCCCCCCAAAGACTCAGCCCATTGCGCTCTCAGAAAAAGCCAGAAATGGCCCAAATCCTCTTTACACCCCAACTCTTGATTAAAATTTGTTTCCACTTTTAAAATATCATTTGGATTTGATTTTGCTTGCTGAACTTGATGAGATACCGAGACCCTCAAATCAGATGTGGAAGACACAAAAATAGTGCCCTGTCCCCAAATACAGCTCCCCAATGTCTATTCCTTCTTACCCCTCCTGCCTCCCCAAATTTGTTTGATCTTTAGAGCAGCATCTGGGGTGGAGCTTCCTCCACCATGGGTCTCATTCTTGGGGTGGTTCTGGAATACCCCAGGCTAGGACTCTGGCACCCCTCTACTCATTTATCCATTGCTGACTAAAAAGCCCTTCTTTAGTCCTGACAAGATCTCAACTGAAGGCAAAGAGGAACTAGACTGGGGCTTTGCAAAAGCGTTGAACTGCTTCATCAGTAAGGGGCTACAAAAAGAAAAATCTGTGGCTTTTCCTCCTTTTTCTAGCCCCTTTTCAGGGTGAGCTGGGACCAGCATTTTTAATTATAATGATGGGGAAATATGGACTATGGCTTTTATGGGGTTCATATTGACCTCATTAAACTTGAGTTTATAGAAGGCAAAATGCTCCCCAAACAGTAACAGGAACAAGCGAGAGGTTGGTGAGAGGTACCACTGTTTCTTGCAGAGATGTGCGTGAGGGCTCAGAGTCTCATCTTCCGATTTCCCACCTTCCCCCAGGGCACTGCTTTCTTCCCCATCCTGGCCTCCGGGGCAACGTGGGGCCCAAGCCCCCAAGGCAAATTCTGCACCGCCAAGGCCGACAGTGGGGAGGGGGTGCGCTTCCTGTGAGGAGACAGCTGTGGGCCTGAGCACTTGAATTTGACCACCAAAGTTTATTCCAGGGCCACCATAAAAGTGAGCCAGGCAGCTGCAAGTTGCTGCTGGCGGCTCTATTTCCTTGAAACAAAAAAGAATGTCCAAGGAGTTGATGTCAGGAAACTCTAAGGTCTTCCAAACAGAGGCTTCTGAGAATTAATATTATTCCTCCTAAAAGTAAGGCACCAAGTTCCACTTTTTTCTAGTTTTGGTCTGACTTAAATTTTCAACGACTTAAAAAAAAAAAAAAATCCTAGCAACTGGAGGTTGCTGCTGAGGTCAAGGAGAGAAGGCCTTAGCCACTGAGGTCAGCAAGAATTTGACTGGCAAAAATGCCCATAGTGTGCACCTCCCTGCCTGGCCTTAGGTCCAGCCCACTCCTAAGCATAGACTGAGCTGCCTGCCCCAGGCTGCACCCCAAGGCATTAGTGCCTTCCCCAACATGAGACCCATCTGTGGCCCCAAATCTGTTCCCAAAAGCCTGGCAAGCCCCACTCCCGGAGTAGAGGTGGCTTTTCCCTCTCATCTCATGGGTGCCTGCGGCCCCTCCACCATCCTGGAATTCCAGCTTTCACATGAAATCCTCCTCTGCAGGGTCATCCTGCCCACTCAGTGGCTCTTGGTGGCCTTAGTAAGCACTGCCTGCCTGCCTGGCCGCTAGCAGGCAGCTGTGGTCTGGGCAGCTGCCACGGTACTCTGGCCACTGGCCAGGGCTACGAACAGACTCCAGCACGCTTCTTTTCCACACATGGACACCAGAGACAACTTCAGAAGGGGGCAGTATCTTCCAAATTCCAGCCTGGGAGACCCCAGTGCAGCATCCTCCACACAGCCCTGGCTGCCTTGCAGCTTGACCACCTCCTCCTGCTGCTCTGGACTCTAGAATAGGTTGTGGAAGGGAAAGGGGCCCACCCCACAGACCCTGAACTGGGAGGAAACCAGGGAGGCGAAAGGGGCCAGTGGAGCTCTTGTGGGCTTGAACTGTAAATTCAGTCCCAGGTGGAATCAATAAAAAGATAAACAATAAGCACATGGACACCCTCAGTAATTCGGAAGCTGGGTTGCCAAGGATGCACCCTCATTAGAAATCGTGTTGCATCTTTTTGCACATATTTCTCTTTCTTAGAGCAGTACCGCTGTTTAATAATCCCTTTAGTGTGCTTAGGGATTTTCAGACCAGCAGTTTATTCTGCACTGGGGACACCTCCCACCCCCAGTTAGGGAGCTAGAAGGGGATAGGACTGCCGGTTCTTGGCCCCCACCTCTCCTCAGCCCTGGCTATCACCCCAAGCCCAAAGTCCCAAGTCAGACCACCTAAACACACCAGACAGATGCTGCTCCTCTGGCCCCTGGACCGGATAGGGGGAGGGAGAAGGGCAGCTCCTCAGCCCCTGAAGCCCCACCCACCTTTCTCAGCCCAGGGATTGTCCCAGGAGGCTAGCAACGCGACCCCATTTCTCCCCATAAAAGTCCCATTTTACGAGCCAGTTTCACTGGCCCCCTCACCAAATGCTCTAAAATTAAGGAAATGTCTTAAAAGCAGTCTGGAAATGGAGCCACTAACTTTGGACCTTGGTTTTCCAAACCCAGTTGCAACAGCACAGAAAATGGTTTTTTTCTGAGCAGGATTGCCCTGTTAGGCCACCTGGATCTCTGGGCTCTGGATGGAGTAGTGGAGCGGAGGAGCGGAGGCCCGGGCCCGGGTGGAGGGGACACTATTCCGGGACTTTAGCGCCTACTTAGGCCGGACCCAGTCCTCGCAGATCAAAGTGAGCTCTCGGCATTTTTATGAGATCAACTTCAGTGGCTCTTTACTTGTAATCAGATGCCTAGGTCGAAAATGCAAAAGGGAACACCCCATCAATCCAAAAAGGAAAAGGAGAGAGAGAAAGAGAGAGAGAGAGAGAGAGAATATGAATTCAGGTGACACATAGCAAGAAAATTCCAGTCTCCAATAAAAAAGACTGCCTGCAGCAAGAATGGTTTGTAGGTCTATCCCAGTCTCCAGGCCTTCTTCCCATCCGCCTGCACAATAAGCCTAACTCGCCTGTTTTCTGAAGCTTGATTCGAAAGCTTCCACAGTATGGACACAACACCACACATGGGGCCAGTGGGGCCGCCTGCACTCCCTGGCCCCAGTGGGGAAGTTGCCTTCTGCTCATAATTTAAAAGTCTCTCCCATTTTGCTGCTTTCCTCTCTGCGGTCTCGGTGGTTCTCTGGGCACTACAGCCAGAAGTTGAGTTACAGGAAGAATCGCCAGAGATTTATTGCTGGCCCCAAACTTGGAAAGCCTTGTTGTCATAAACAGCCATCTATTGTCTAGACTTTTATCTCTGGGTATGGATCGTGCATTATTGAGGCTCTGGAGACACGGGCCTGGCTCTGTGGAGTGTGTATGCAGCTGAGCACTTGTTCCCCCCACCAAGGGTTTCTTTGAGGAGGTTTAAGAGAGCACAAATTTGTGTGTGCTAGGCAGGTACACCTGAGTGTCCACCGTGGAGACCCAACGTGGGGAAGGCCTCTTTGTGCCTGGGAGCATTCTGGTACATGTACTTGTGTGTTGGATGAGAATTTGTCACGGTGTGTTTTGTTTCTGGGGCATTTTAAGTGTTCCTGTCTGGGCTTTTGCGGGTTTTATTAACCTGCATCCGCTTGGCCTGTTTATGTCCCTTAGAAACAGATCGTCTGGTGTTTTTCAATATTGGGGCCCATCGTGTGTGTATTTGCCTCTTAGAAAATGGGCTTAGGTGATACCTTTCCATTTTTTCTGCCTCAGATTCCTCCACCCATCCTCAATCACACTCCAGCCTATGCCTTCACCAGTGTCTGACTCTGCCCCACTCCCTGCAAGTCCCTAAATCTCCCAAGTGGCTACCAATTTTGTGTCACAGGCACAAAACACATTTTTATATGAAACACATTTTACAGCACAAAATCTGGCTCTCTCTGTCTTTCCCACACTATGGGAAATGTCCCAGCTCCTAAATGCCCTTATTTCCTGGAGCTCTCCTTCCCTAAGCTGAGGGGTGTCTCAGAAAGGGCCTGCTCAGTCCATTTTGACCCTTTAAAGTACTCTCCACAGAATTCTAGATAATACCAAAGAGGGCCTCCTGCTCCTTTCCTGGGGCTTCCTGACAGCAAATGTCCACACCATGGCCACCCTGTCAGCCCTGGAGCCCAGGCAGCAGGACGGTTGCCTGGATTATATGTCTGTGGGAGAGACAATTATCACCTTACATCTCAGGGTCAGATGCTGGTTTTGAAAGCTAGGATCCTTTAACACCAGCAGAAATAATCGAATCCTCCCCCTTTGTTTTTCATTATCAGAACTCAGGGTGGCGGGGCTCCAGGCACTGAGGTCAGGGAGCTCCACCGACCACCCCCACTGCTCCCGGCTGTTCTCAACTTGAGCCCCAGACCCCACTTCAGGTCCCTTAGGCACCCTCAACTAGATAGGTAAACGGGAGGGGACTGATCCCAGAGGCTGGTTTTCCAGTTGAGAAGGGTGGAGGCAACAGTTAGGGGTTTGTGGAGCATCAAATTTAACCAGAAGCCCCCACCATTGCTTTCTAAGCATCCCTCCCTTGCCTTGCCATTAAAATTCCCATTTAAAAAGCAGTGGCTAGGCCTAAAAGGGGCTCCTTGGGCGCAGAGCAGGCTGAAAACAAGCTGTGAGGTCCAGGAAACAGGAGGTGAACCCTTCACTGACCCCCCCCATGCCATATTCATATTCTCCACCGCTCTGGCTCTGGCTCACCCCTAGCACTACCCTGGAGGGAAAGGATCAAGGATTCCACTTGGGGTTCCCTTCTCCCAGCGCCCTCGGTTGAGCCTGCCGGGTGCCTGAAGCCCGGCACCGCCGCGGCTCCGGAGCTCGCTTTCCCTCCGGCGGGCCAGCTGCAGCGTCGCCTCGCTCTGTCTCTCCCTGTCGCTCCCCATCCCTGCCTCTCCCTCACTTCTAAACCAACAAATATCTAATATCCTTTTTTTCTCCGCACCCAAGGCCTAGACGGAGCGGGTTCAGCGCCGGGGCGGCGGGCGCGCTTTGCTCCCAACCCGCGGGCGGCAGCCTCCCTCTCGGCTAGTTGTCGGGTTAAAACCTTTCTCTCGCTTTCCCGCGTCTCGCCCTTTCTTTCCGCCTCTGGGTCTGAGAAATAAATAAATCCAATCTCCTACCTCACGATCCCCCCACCTCCCCGCCCCCGTGCTGCCTCACTTCTCCTTACCGAGCGCACCGCCTGGTTTTCGGAAGGAAATCTTAATAGACATTTAAGCTGTAAATGAACTTTTCTTTGTGACGGCTAATTTTCTCTCCAGTTCTCGAGTCCCGCTCGGCTGCTCGGTGGACTGGAGCGGGCTGGGAAGTCCGCAGCAGGGGCGAGGGGGAGGTGGAGGGAGACGGAGCCGAGTCTCGGACGGTGGCGAGAGACACGGTGGAGCGAGAGAGGTAGAGAGAAAAAGAGGCGTCGGGGTGGGGAAAGGAGGGCGAGAGGGAGGGAAGGAAGGAGGGAGGGAGGGAGGGGGCCCCAGCTGGCAGGAGCGGAGCCAGAGAGAGAAAAGTTTCCCGTAGTCTTCATTAGTTGACTCCTCTGTGAGCTGCTTCCCCCAGCCAGCGGAGCTCACCCCCAATAAAGGAAGAAGGGGGGTCTCTTTTTCTTAAGGCCCCAAAGAGTCCAGTGTTTACAAGATCAGAAATGCCACGGCCACGTCCTGGCAGAAAGAAAGGCTGAAATGGAGGACCGTGGCCTTCCTTATAAGGTACGATGCTAACTTGACCTTCACTTTGTCCTGGCCGCCCCCCCGCCCACACAGACTCCTGCCGGCTGCAGGCAGAGCCAGAGCCCTGGCGGATCCCTGGCGGATCCTGGTTTCTGCCTCCCTCCTTCCTTTCTTTCTCTTTCATATCTCTGTTCCCGTTCCTTTTTTCATTCCCCTCTTCTTTCCTTCTGTCATTTTCTTCCTTTTTTCTACCTTTTCCTATTTCCTTCCTTCTCTCCCCCACCTCCTACTGTTCCCCTTTTACCCCCTTTCTTTCACTCATTCATTTTACTCTTGCCTGCTGGTTTCATAGTTTTCCTTGACTCTCTCTTGCCTGGCTCTCTACTGCAATCTCTTCTCCCTCTCTCTCCCACAGCCTTCTGTTCTGGTCTTTTGAATCCCAGAAACAAGAAAAATATTTTTAATTCTTTCCCCATCCCCACTCCAAATGATCTGCACAGCTATAGCCTGGCTTCTACCCGCCCCCCCCCCCC